GCCGGTCGCACCGGGCAGCCCCCCTGTCCTCACTGTGATCTGTGCCGCGGTGTTACCCCGCATGTGCGACACCCTCCTGCCCGTTTCTGGGTGCTGCGGAGCATGGCTTTCACGGTTCAATAAACGCGCTTTCTTTCTGGGGGGCGGGGGCGGGGGCGAGGGAGGTGGTGGTCAAATTCCCTGCAAAAGGAACCTCAGATGTATGGAGAATGTGTTTCTTCTAGCGTGGCGGTTAGGCTAAGCCATAATCCTGCTATTGCGAATCCTACCAGGTAAAGTGGTGGACCCCGTAAGAAAAATCCGTTGGTATAAATTGAACGGTCACGTTTACTATTGGAGTTACGCCCTTCTTCCAACATATTGCAAAACACAGGAACACTCGTAAGAAAGTGACCTCGGTCTACTCCAGGGAGGCCAGAGAGAGACGCCGGTGGCCCCCCTTTCAGCGGGCACTTGGGGTGCGGCCGGAAGGAGGGTTCGCTCACTGCCCGAGCGCTGACCGAGAGGGTACCTGCCCCGGGTCCAGGCCTCTGAGGACACTCAGTAGCTGGAAAAAGAGCAATGCGAGCTTGACAGCTAAGTACAATCTTCAAAGCACTGCTTTGTATCTGCTGCCTGGGAGGATTCAAGTGTCACCTCACTTAATGTGACTTCTGTCCCCCCAGGGAACTAGCAGTGTTTTAAAAAACATTTTTTTAAATTGATTTTAGACAGAGAGGAAGGGAGAGAGAAAGAAACATTGATTAGTCATTCCACTTATGTATGCATTTCCTGGTGGATTCTCGGATGCGCCCTGACGGTCTCAAACCCACAACCTTGGCACACTGGGACAGCGCGCTAACCCACTGACTTACTGTGCCAGGCCCCCTAGTGACGTTTAAACGTTAAATTCTGATTACCATGGTTATTACACATGTTATAACCTAACCACTTTAGGTTACTCAAAGTAACACAGAATCGGCGTCTTCTGATTTTTTAAAATTTATATTTAAAAAAAAAATGTTCTTCTCGATTTTAGAGAGAAAGGGGAGAGGGAGAAACATCAGTATGGGTATGGGCTGCCTCCTGAGCACCCCGGACTGGGGGCTGGCCTGCAACCTGGACATGTGCCCTGAGCAGCTGCTTGGTGCGTGGGTCGGTGCTCATCCACTGAGCCACCCCCGCTGGGCATCTGTTTGTAGTTTTATCGTTGTCTTTTGAGGAAACCTCAGTTACTCAGGGTATAACCCAATTTTTAAAAAATTTCAGTAGGATATTTGAGTTTTTATATTGTTTTTTTCTAATTGATTTTTAGAGAGAGAGGCAGGGAGAGAAACATAAATGTGAGAGTGAAACATCCGTCATCAGTGGGTTGCCTCCTGCACGCTCCCTATCTTGGTCATCTGGGCGATGACCAACTGGCCAGGGAGATATTTGAGTTTTCAGAATTGTGCTGATCCCAAGTTAAAGTTAGAATAGGTGTTTGGGCATCGGTATTTACAAAATGATTGTGTCAGCTTTCTTTGTTTTTACTTTGTCTCTGATGATGTAAGCGGATTGATCAGCTAGTTTTGTGCTCTCTAAAAACTGCACAGAATTTCACCACTGGCTAAGGCCTGCTTTCTTATAACTGTGTGCTGTATTTCATTACGTATAAAATGATAATCTGTAAATCTGGGTGTTTGTAGGTCTAAACTCAACTGTGTTTAATTTTTAAATGCAAATATACTCAAGTTTTCCCTTACCTAGCTTTCTTTTACACTTTTAGAAAACCATTTTTTTTTTTTTTGGTTGGGAGTGTGAGCTGGTAACATGCCTTAATTTTGCTTAGGGACAGAACAGGGTGGAAGGAGTCATTGTGCAGGTAGAGAAGGCAGCAGGAAAAGCCTTTGAAAGAATTAAAATTGGCTAAGACAGAAACGAAAGAAGCAGGATCATAAATATCTTTGTTTTTCTAATACAGCAGTGTCTTTCAGGCCGTTTTACATCCACGGCCTTGTTCATCTAAGTAGATGATGTCACTTAGCAATTGATGTGGGAGGAGAGCCTGTTTGATTTTTAATTTTTTTTTTTTTGCCCTATCACATCGTTAAACTAGTTTCTGATTAAGGAGAATAAAAGTAATAGATCGGGAAAGGTAAGGATTTAACAGATTTCGGGAGAGAATCTGGGGCTAGAGGCACAAGGACTGCCTAGCTTTGATGACATACCAGAGAAGTTGTCAGATTTTCCTAAGTCTTAATATAGTGGTAGCCAGACAATGCTGATTTTCCTTATAATAGTTGTATGAAAAGGAATTTTAATTTAAATGAGTTGCCCAGAAACTAAAAGATGACCAATCTTCTAGTATCAGTGCTACTAAGTTATACACTATGTATGTGATTCCTTTTTCTAGGTCGTTTGCATATCTTACAATTAAAGACAGAATACCACAGATCTTAACCAAGGCTATTGATACATTGCATCGACATAAAAATGAAATGTTTGAGAAACATGGAGAGGTATGAAATGTATTTGAACTTTAATTATTTTCTTAAATCTTTAACAAACATACTAAGCTGTTTCCCCTATTTGATAATGACCATTCCACTTGAAGATAATGAAGGGACTCTAGTTATTAGATGAAACTTAAAAAAAAACCCGGCAGAATAGATAAGGCAGGATAATGTTGATATGAGATCTGTGTGTGTGATTTGATTTTCAATTTAATTCTAAATTTAAATGTTTATAATAGTTTCTGAAGACATAAGATGTAGTTTTGTAATATAGTATTTCTTTCCTTCTTAAGTTTAGGTCTATAAAAATGTGCTATCCTACAGGAAGTATTCATGTATAGATATTTAAATATAAAGTACATATAAAATTTAATTATTTACATATAGATTATATATTTTTAAATATGTGTAAATGTTTCTTCCCTATTTCTGTAGAAAGGCATAGAAGCTGAAAAGAAAGCAATTTCTCTTCTTTCTAAATTGCGGAATGAATCACAGACAGACAAACCAATTGTCCCCTTGGTTGAGAAGTTTGCTGATACTGACATATGGAATCAGTACCTAGAACATCAACAGGGTCTTTTAAATGACAGTGATGGGAAACCAAGGTGGTTCTACTCACCATGGCTGTTTGTAGAATGCTACATGTATCGTAGAATTCATGAAGCAGTTATCCAGAGGTAAGTATATAACCATCAAATAAACATTCAGATAATTTATGCTTTTTTTGAAATTATAAAATGATAAGTTTGAAAATAAAAACCAGTGGAAACATGAATTTAGTTCAACAGCTATTAATGGCACTGCTGGACATGCTGCAGATGTTATCACTATAATAGATTCTTGGCAGTTATAATCCGCATGCCCAGAGTAGTCATAGATTGAATATCTGAAGTAGGAACTAATTAAAAATTCTTTTTTTATATATATATTGTATTGAGTTTTTACAGAGAGGAAAGGAGAGAGATAGAGAGTTAGAAACATCGATGAGAGAGAAACATCGACCAGCTGCCTCCTGCACACTCCCCACTGGGGATGTGCCCGCAACCAAGGTACATGCCCCTGACCGGAATCGAACCTGGGACCTTTCAGTCCGCAGGCTGACGCTCTATCCACTGAGCCAAACCGGTTTCGGCTAATTAAAAATTCTTATAAAAACTTATTTTTCTTCATGAGTAAAACAAATTATACTTATTGAGGAAAAAGATGTTAATTTGAAATAATTATTATAACAAAGGGCAAAGTAAACATTTGTTTTATTTATAAAACTTGATTATATGTCAGTTAATTTGGTATAAGGAATCAATAGCACAGAGAAAATAGAAGGCATTTAAAAGCTTTTATTGCCATAACCGGTTTTGCTCAGTGGATAGAGCGTCGGCCTGCGGACTGAAGGGTCCCAGGTTCAATTCCGGTCAAGGGCATGTACCTTGGTTGCGGGCACATACCCAGAAAGGGGGTGTGCAGGAGGCAACTGATCGATGTTACTCTCTCATTGATGTTTCTAACTCTCTATCCCTCTTCCTTCCTCTCTGTAAAAAATCAATAAAATATATTAAAAAAATAATAAATATAAAAAATAAAAGCTTTTATGAAAGTGTAATATACATACAGACCAGTGCAGATATCTTAACTGTTCAGCCGCTTTACCAGAACATGCTTGCGTCCCTAGTGTCCAGATCAGGAGGCAGACCCGCCCTAGGACTCCAGGAGCCCCCATGGATCCCCCTCCGTTCACTGCCATCACGGCCCCTCAAGGATAGCCACTGCCTTGATCTGTTAGTTTTGCCTGTTTTAAAATGTCATTCCAGTGAAATTACATGGGATGTATTTTGGTATCTGATTTCTTTCATTCAGCATTATGTTGCTGAGATTCATCCCTATTGTTTGCATATAATTGTAAATAACTCATTTCTATATAGTATTGCAATATATGAGTATATCACAATCTTTAGCTCTTCTAATGTTGATAGGTATTTGAATAGTTTTTATTTTGCGGTTATTATAAAGAGTGCTGCTTTAGAGGGAAGGCGAGGGAGGGTGGGTAGGTGGGAAGAGATCAACCGAAGAACTTGTATGCATATATGCATAGCCCATGGACACAGACAGTAGGGTGGTGAAGGCCTGCGGCAGGGGAGGGGGGGAATGGGGGGGGGTAGGCTAGAAGGGGTCAGTGGGGCAAATAAGGAAACATGTAATACTTTCAACAATAAAGATTTAATTTTTAAAAAAAGTGCTGCTGTAAACATTCAAATGCATGTTTTGGTGAACATACGGGTGTATTTTTGTTGGAGATGGACCTAGGAGTGAATCACCAGGTCATAGTGTATGCACGTAAGCAGCTTTAGTAAATTCTAAAATAGCAAACATTTAAAAATCAGAAATCATAAATAGTGATGTGAGTTTACTCTCTTAAATACAAGAAATAAAGCTCATTCTTAATATGAGGTGTGACTTTAAACTAATGAACAATTTGTTAATAAACGAGGACAGCCCAGCTGGTGTGGCTCAGCGGTTGAGATCGATTGAAGGCTCCATCCCCGCTAGGCGCGTGCAGGAGAAGCCAATGGATGTTTCTCATGGACGTTTCTGTTTCTCTGTCCCTCTCCCTTCCTGTCTCTCTAAAATCAATAAAAAACATATTAAAAAAAATAAAACACCAGAACAAAGGTTGGGAAAGTTTCTTTGGTAAAAGGCCAGAGAGAGAATATGTCAGGCTGTGGGGCCACATGGTCTGTGTCGAAGCTCTCAGCCCTGTCGCTCAGTGCGAAAGCAGCTCTGGACGCCACATGAAAGAGTGGGCATGGCTGTGCTCCAGCTAAACTTCGTTTATGGGCACTGGCGTTGTAACTTCATGTGTCAAAATATTCTTTCGATTGTTGCCAACCATTCAAAAATGTAAAACCATTCTTAGCTTGCAGGTCAGGCACAACAGATGGTGGGCTAGATGGGGTCTGCAAGCTGTAATTTGCTGACCCCAGCACTGGAGCCTGTGTATCCAGCAGTTTTTATTTTTCAAGTCGCCTGGAGAGACGGGTTTATTTCAGCAGTGCTGCCATTGCTGAAACACCTCTCCATTCTTTGGAATTTCTCTCAGAGCCAGTGTACAAGCCTCAAAATGAATATGTCTCATTATTTTTTAGTCACTCCTCATTTTTGACCAAAAATGTTTTCTCCATTTGATTGGATTCTACTGACCATGCTCTGAGTGACATTTGGCTGTCTCCAAAAAGAAATGAACCCCCAAAGGGTGAAGATAAGCGATCACCGACCAGACGGTTAGCCATGTGCCTCAGGTTCTGAAGGACATTCCGAAGTGCTTTGAGCAATGGCAGCATCTTCGGAGTAAGGGTGCGCTCCCAAGCTGGCTGGTGCTGGAAGGAGCCAGCACTCGTTTGGATTATACAGCCTGGTATGTTTTTGTTTTTAAATCAATCCCATAACTGAGTCATATTGTTTTCACCCTAAGGTAGCTCCATGAGTAGATCTAAATGTACCCTAATTTAGGAGATCAGATCATCTGAATGTCTTCACAGTTGATTCTGTTTAGGCTGTTCAGTTAGTATTTATACCTTCTTAGTTATGCTTTTGTAGGGCAATATTAATATCATTTGATCTCATTGGACAGCATGTGGATATAGCACATCATGGCACCTATATCGCCATTGGTCACAGTCAACTTGGGAGTAAAAGTTACCAAAAAAACAACAAACCAAACTCAAAATCTACACATAAATGATCAAAATATGTCAATATCATAAAACTTACATTAGTATGATCTGATTTATCTCAAGTAGTCATTGTGTTCCCATAATGCTCCTATGTTCGAATCTTAGTGTTTACTACATTATATTCAGATATTCTGTTTCTATCCATATGCTTGTTATTTGGCATCCAGCCACTTGAGCACCCAAAAAATGTTTGTTGTTGTTTTTTTTTAATTGATTTTTTACAGAGAGGAGAGAGAGAGATAGAGAGTTAGAAACATGGATGAGAGAGAAACATTGATCAGCTGCCTCCTGCACATCTCCTACTGGGGATGTGCCCGCAACCAAGGTACATGCCCTTGACCGGAATCGAACCCGGGACCTTTCATTCCACAGGCCGACGCTCTATCCACTGAGCCAAACCAGTTTCGGCCAAACAATGTTTGTTAAACTGAAGCAGTTGTCTTAAAATTTTATTTCTCTTTCTCCTTTTGCCCTGGAAACGGGGTAAATAATTATGAATATGGTCACTAATTATTTAATACTTCTAGGACACTTTTGGCAGTTAATTAAAATGAGTTTGGGGGATTTTGTGTACTTTGATTATCATTGTTGTGTAACTTACCTATGTTATATATAGTATGTTACCTGTCATTAAAATTATATATATATAATTGATTTCAGAGAGGAAGGGAGAGGGAGAGGAAGAGGGATAGAGAGTTAGAAACATTGATGAGAGAGAATCATCGACCAGCTGCCTCCTGCACCCCCTCTCCCCCAACTGGGGATCGAGCCTGCAACCTGGGCATGTGCCCTGACCGGGAATTGAACCTGAGACTTTTTGGTGCGTGGGACGACACTCAACCACTGAGCCACTCCGGCTGGACAGTTATCTGTCATTTTTGAGACCAAATGCTACTATTCTCTTTCCTTTAAAGAATGCAATTACTCAAATGTCTGAGAAAAAGATGCAGAGTTATATAAATGTTTCACTTATGTTTTTCTCTCACTTTAGTCCACCAATTGATGACTTTGATGTATTTAAAGAATCAAAAGAACAAAACTTCTTCGAGTCGCAGGAGTCCATCATGACTTTATGTATTCATCTGCGAGAGCTGATGCAAATAATTGAGCACCTGGATGAAAATCAGTTGAAAGATGAGTTTTTTAAACTTCTTCAGGTAAATGTGATCATTCATCTCCTGAGTATATTTGTTGAGTTAAATAGTTAAAAAACAGACTGGTACACATTTAACAACAAAACCCGGATATACATTGTCATTTTAGTTATCATTGATCATTTATCATTTTAGTAGAAGTGTTATTCAAGAGATGACAATCCATTTAAGCTCTGAAAATGGGTTTTGCAATCTCTTCTACTACACCTGCTGGTGATGTTCGTGGCTTCATAGCTTCTGTCATTCTTGAGAGAATACTTTACAGTCATTTGGTTGACCCAGCCTGACTTGGGCTTCAGTGTCTGCTTTGTCGCTTATTTGTGATTGGACCTGAGCAAGTTACTTAATTTCTCTGACCTGTAGTTTCTGTGTCTGTTCAATGACGGTGGTATTGAACACCTCCTAATTTGATGTGAGAAACTGGATTCATTCACGTGAGTACTGCGCAGAGTCTGGAACACAGAATGTGCTGTCGTCATCAGGTAGAAACTGTCCTATTTAATACAGTCTCATTACATTTCTTCATCAAGCTTGTGTAAGTTTAGTTTTAAATTCTTATTCAAGACATCCTTACATTTATATACTAGGTTCGGAGCAGTTTGAAAATGAGTAGGTGTACGCAGTAGTTCCCCAGCCCTGACTGCCTAGGAAAAGTTAGAAACATTTCCAGGAGATGTCAGAAAATGTTATGAAAAGAAATAACGCAGGGAAGGGGCCCGGGAGTGTTGGGGGAGGGAGGCCATACTGAGTCAGGAAGGACCTGCTGAGACCGTGCCCTGGGGGAAGGCCTGAAGCGGGTGAAGCAGCAGATCACAGGTATGTCTGGTGTGAGAACCGAGAGGGGCTTCTGTTGGAAATGAGAGAGGTAAGAGGAGGGGCCGAAGGGCCACAGAAGGCAGGTTTGGTTCCTAGAACGAAATGGGAAGGTATTAGAGGGTTTGGATCAGAGGAATAACATTAAATGACTTATTTCAAGGATTACTTCTGAAAACAGACCAAAGGGGCTCAGGGCAGAACCTGGGAGATCTGTTATTAAAATGACTCAGGTCCAGGTTGGTAGCATCAGAGGTGTTAAATCTCTCAAGATTCTGAATATACTTGGAAAGTAGAGGCTCCAGACAGGTTGTGGGACGTGGAACCTGTAGGGTGAGCGGAGCAAGCTGAGAGATGAAGAGGGAAAGGTCAGGGTATTGTTAAACTGGAAACCCAATTATTTTGTCTCCTCTAAACTATCCTTTATGCTTAGCTTAGAATTAAGAGAAGAAAAGCAGCACGTTACTCATTATCCATAGCTCGGTCATTCTTTCACAGCCTTTGAATATAATATGTTTTTCGTCCCATAAATATAATAAATTATGAGAAGAAGGAGTACCAATCTGTTTTCTGTCACCTGCTTCGGCCGCTACCCCAAATTGCTGCTCTGCTCCCCAGTAAAGGAGCCAAAGCTGCCCCCGTCACTGTTCGTGAGCACCAGCAGGTTAACTTCCTGCAAGGAGCTCCCAGCTGTTTTAGTCTGTGGGAATATTGATCTGTTCTTAAAACCATAAAACTCCATCCCTGCCCACACAAACATTGCAGTGTCTACTCTATCATGAACATTTTTCTCGATGGCAGGCATGTAATGGTGAGAAAACAGACCAATCCTTGCTGGCGTAGAACTTGTAGTCTTGAGGGAATATAGACAATCAAATAAGGGCACAAATCAATATAGACTTAATCACAGACTGGAAATATGCAGGAGGCCAACAGAGACCCTGACCTCAGCTGGGGAGGGCCACCATCTACACCAGTGCATGTTTATCAGAGTTGGACTTATACCTAAAAAAAAAATATGTGTGTAGGTGCGTGTGTGTGTGTACATTTAATTCTTTAAAAATAGTATTCTTGGTTGGAACATGCATTTTCCTCTTATTTTGAACCATATAAAAGTAGAATCTGTTTTGGTTACTATTTATTGAGTTCTTCTATATGCCAGCTATTGGATACATTACTTAAACCCGTTATGTCAATTCTCGCAATAACTCTATGAGGCAAATGCTCTTTTTATCTCATTTTTCAGTTGCATAAGCTGAGCCTTGGGTGGGGGAGGGGGTCTGTACTTACCAGTGGTTGTTAATTGGAAATGCAGGGACCTGAGCCCAGGCCTGCCTGCTTCCAGAGCCTGCACTCCTACACACGTACTTTCAGTTATGGCTTTAAAAGAGAAGGTTATAGGCCATTTCCCACAAAGTAAGCTTGAGTATTGTTTCAGTTTAAAGTAGAATAATAGGTTATTAGAGTTGCAAGGGTCTTTAGACTAGACATCACCTTGTCCAATTTCTTTATTTTACAAGTGAGAGAAGTAAATCCTAGGGAGACTGGATTTACTCAGAGAAATTGAGCAGGTTTTTGGGGGGTTGGGGGTGGGGCTGGGAGGAAAAAAGTCACTTATTTTTCTCTTGATACTGATTGTAAAGTAAACTTTGTGGCTTCTTTTTTGATCTTGTTCTTACATCTGCAAGAAGCAAAAATTTTCATTCTGATTAAATGATATGGGTCATTAAAATCATTCAAACCAGTTTTTAAAATTTCACTACATACTAACCAATTAAAAGTTTCAGGGTTTTACCTTTTCTTAAAAAATAATGTGTTTTGTTTATGATTTTATAGAGAGAGGAAGGGAAAGGGAGAGAGAGAGAAACATCAATGTGAGAGAGAAAGAAACATTGATCACCTGCCTCATGCACACCCCCTACCGGAATCAATCCTGCAACCCAGGCATGTGCCCTGACCGGGAATCAAACCTGAGACCTTTTGGTGCATGGGATGGTGCTCAACCAATTTAGCCACAAGGGCCAGGGCTGTTTTACCTTTCTATACAACATCATGCAAAGTGGATTTGATGGACGTTTTGTAGAAATGAATTTTATGAATACTTTTAGCAACCCTTTCCCCGACATCCTGCGTGTTAGTTTTTGTTGGTTATTCAGAAGAAGGGTAAATGTTTTGTACTTTTTCTTTTTCAGATTTCACTGTGGGGAAATAAGTGTGATCTGTCTCTATCAGGTGGGGAATCCAGTTCTCAGAAGACCAATGTAATAAATTCTTTGGAAGACCTAAAGCCTTTCATTTTAGTGAATGACATGGAACATCTTTGGTCATTGCTTAGCAATCACAAGAAAACAAGAGAAAAAGCATCTATTGTTAGAGTGGATATTGTTCTGGATAATTCTGGGTTCGAACTTGTTACAGATTTAATATTAGCCGACTTCTTGTTGTCTTCTAAATTAGCTACCGAGATCCATTTTTATGGAAAAATGATTCCATGGTTTGTTTCTGATACTACTATACATGATTTTAATTGGCTGATTGAACAAGTAAAATATTCTGATCATAAGTGGGTATCCGAGTGTGGGGCCAACTGGGAAAACTATGTTAAGACGGGCAGGTGGGTTTACCATGATCATATATTTTGGACACTGCCTCATGAATTCTGTGCAATGTCTCAGGTTGCTCCTGACTTATATGCTGAACTACAAAAGGCACATTTAATTTTATTCAAGGGTGATTTGAATTACAGGAAGTTGACGGGTGACAGAAAATGGGAGTTTACTGTTCCGTTCTACCAAGCTCTGAACGGCTTCCATCCCGCCCCGCTCTGCAGCATCCGCACGTTAAAAGCGGAGATTCAGGTTGGTCTGCAGCCCGGGCAAGGTGAACAGCTCACGGCCTCTGAGCCCAACTGGCTGACCACTGGGAAATATGGAGTATTTCAGTTTGATGGTCCGCTTTGACTTGGTTTCTGAATTATGACTTATGTAGAAGGTCTGACAGGCAACAATCATCCTTGGAAAAGCAGTGTGTGAATTTAGTCACGTGACTGCTTTGCTTTAGCTCTGAGCAGCTGGGCTTCTTGGGGCTCAGTTATACACTCTGGATGCCGTTTTCTTTGAACATTTTTCCCCATACATTGTTTTGGGGATAGATGGGTTAAGCTAGTCACAGGTCTTTGCATTTATGTTGGAATCTTAGTGACTTATTTCAAGTTACATGCATAATTTCAAATGGTTTTCATGAGCTTATTTTTAATTGGGCAGAAAGCAATATAAGGGAATAAATAAACTTTTTATAGAAAATACTATGCTGCATGGTATTTAATATCCTAGGAAGCATGGAATTTTATTTAACTTGATTTGGGGCTCTAGAAATAAAGGCTCTGTAAAAATATACATCTTAAATATGCTTTATAAAGAGGGGCATTTCTTACAACTGTGATATTTGAACACATGAAAGTAAAACTTAACTCATAATTTAAGTATACTTTTGTTCTTAAGTTTTATTTAATTTCAGTTGCCTGTTTCATTTGCCTACATTTGGATTTTGATTGACCTTTGGAATTGTAGGGAGCACAAAATTGAACAGAATGAAATAAATGATATTTGAAGAAAAATGTAATACCTTTTGCATTCTATTTGTGGTCAACTGAAATATAGTATTTTAACATGTTTTAAATGAACAGATTTTTAGATTGCTTGGCAGTTTTAAAATATGCTTTAGATCGAAAAGATTCTTGTGCATTGAATTTGGAATACTACCAACGAGTTGAATCTTTTTTATATTCTTACCTATTTATTGGTGATCACCAGTATTAAAAACAATATGTTTCAGGTCAGTTTGTTTTGAAACTGAAATTGGAAATAAACCTAGAAATGTTTTCTTGCACTAGAATAATAAAATGAATTGTACTGAGAGTCACATTGGTTTTATTTTCTAGTAG